TGAGTTCGAATCCACTGTGAGACATCAGTGTGTCTCTGAGCAAGACACTTAAGCTGATGATACACGGGGCAACTTTTTGCTGGGCAATGTTGCTGGTGCCAAGCCTGACCATGTTTTCAACGGATAGCGGTGGGACAGGGCGGGTGGAAGAAGGGAATTAAGGTAGTAATCTTAACTCATTACCATTGATGGCAACATTGCCCAGCACCGTTGCTCTAAAAGTTGGTCTGTGTATCATCAGCTTTAACCCCTAGTTGCTCCGGAGGTGTGCGACCTCTGACATATACAGCAATTGTAAGTCGCTTTGGTTAAAAGAATCAGCTAGATGAATAAATGTATATTAAAGGACTAGTTTGACATTTTGGGGAAACACTTGCAGGGAGTAAGATGAGAACATTGATATATCGCTCATGTTTATTCATCAAGTATGGCGCCGTTAGCTTAGCATAATACTGAAAGTTCTACCAATGCCTCTAAAGCTCCTTAAATAACACTTATGGATTATTAAAACAGTAATCCATCGATTTATCGCAGCACTCGGACTGGACAGTTGATTTGTTGTTGTTGTCTGTGTTATGCAAGTGGCTAATGTAGCCTCAAGTTTCTACATACAGTGCTTTGCGACAACAACAAATAACAAATAAAAAACTGAAAAATTGGGCGTGCAAAATTATTCAGCCCCCTTAAGTTAATACTTTGTAGCGCCACCTTTTGCTGCGATTACAGCTGTAAGTTGCTTGGGGTACGTCTCTATCAGTTTTGCACATCGAGAGACTGAAATTTTTGCCCATTCCTCCTTGCAAAACAGCTCGAGCTCAGTGAGGTTGGATGGAGGCGTTTGTGAACAGCAGTTTTTAGTTCTTTCCACAGATTCTCGATTGGATTCAGGTCTGGACTTTGACTTGGCCATTCTAACACCTGGATATGTTTATTTGTGAACCATTCCAGTGTAGATTTTGCTTTATGTTTTGGATCATTGTCTTGTTGGAAGACAAATCTCCGTCCCAGTCTCAGGTCTTTTGCAGACTCCATCAGGTTTTCTTCCAGAATGGCCCTGTATTTTGCTCCATCCATCTTCCCATCAATTTTAACCATCTTCCCTGTCCCTGCCCCTGTCAGTGGGGATGGTGTGTTCATGAGCTGTGTTGCTTTTACGCCAAACATAACGTTTTGCATTGTTGCCAAAAAGTTCGATTTTGGTTTCATCTGACCAGAGCACCTTCTTCCACATTTGGTGTGTCTCCCAGGTGGCTTGTGGCAAACTTTAAACGAGACTTTTTATGGATATCTTTAAGAAATGACTTTCTTCTTGCCACTCTTCCATAAAGGCCAGATTTGTGCAGTATACGACTGATTGTTGTCCTATGGACAGAATCTCCCACCTCAGCTGTAGATCTCTGCAGTTCATCCAGAGTGATCATGGGCCTCTTGGCTGCATCTCTGATCAGTCTTCTCCTTGTATGAGCTGAAAGTTTAGAGGGATGGCCGGGTCTTCGTAGATTTGCAGTGGTCTGATACTCCTTCCATTTCAATATTATCGCTTGCACAGTGCTCCTTGGGATGTTTAAAGCTTGGGAAATCTTTTTGTATCCAAATCCGGCTTTAAACTTCTCCACAACAGTATCTCAGACCTGCCTGGTGTGTTCCTTGTTCTTCATGACGCTCTCTGCGCTTTAAACGGACCTCTGAGACTATCAGAGCAGGTGCATTTATACAGAGACTTGATTTCACACAGGTGGATTCTATTTATCATCATTAGTCATTTAGGTCAACATTGGATCATTCCGAGATCCTCACTGAACTTCTGGAGAGAGTTTGCTGCACTGAAAGTAAAGGGGCTGAATAATTTTGCACGCCCAATTTTTCAGTTTTTTATTTATTAAAAAAGTTTGAAATATCCAATAAATTTCGTTCCACTTCATGATTGTGTCCCACTTGTTGTTGGTTCTTCACAAAAAATTACAGTTTTATCTCTTTATGTTTGAAGCCTACAATGTGGCAAAAGGTCGAAAAGTTCAAGGGGGCCGAAAACTTTCGCAAGGCACTGTATTTAGTAGTACTCCCAAGACCTGTTAAACTATTATTTGTGATTTTACAGGGAGTTTTGTGCTGTAATATTCGTCAGTTTTTCCCACCTTTGTGTGTATAGATTAAAAAGATGACATAACATGTTACTCAGTGAGCTTTAGAGGTGCGGGAAGGTGTATTTTCTCACGTTGGACAGAGTCAGACAAGCTATAGTAGGCCGCTTCCTTCCGTCTTCATGCTAAGTTAGGCTACTTGCCTACTAGTTCCGGCTTCTTATCTAATGAATGATGTGTATATCCCTTTAGTTTTTACAGTGTAAACTTACAAAGGAAATACCTCAAATAGCAAAGTAGCTCCCTGAAACCGGTGCATTGGTGGAGTCAGGGCGTCACACATAACTTATTGTTACTCATCAACCGCTTAGCTGCCAGTGGAAAAATAAAGTCAGAATCTTACTGTACTGTGTACTGTGTGGCACAGAAAGCCCAGCTTACATTCAACAGGCTCCTCTTTGATGCTGTAGCTTGGTGGCACCACCTGGGTTGCAGTTGGAGGACCCAGGGGTTGTGGGAACTCCTTTTTAGGGGTGACGCTTTTAACTGGGCTGGCATCTTCGAGACCCTCTTCCGGACACAGGTAGACTTCAATGGGGCCATTCTTGCTCTTTAAATAGATCTGTAATGACCCCTGCTGTAAGGAGAGGATGCAGAAAAGGACAGATTTTTTTAAAATATACGTACAGTCCTAGCTGATAGTTTCATTGCATGTGTCTTTTGGAGAGCTTTACCAGCAATTACATTTGTTTTGAGTGTAGAGTTGTACTACTATGCAGTGACCTAAAAACTGAAAGAGGTCACAAGGAAACACATTGCAAGATGCAAGCAACGATGTGCTCTCACCCCTGCTGTGTCTGGCACCTCCAGTTTGGTGTCAGCTGGGGCTTTGACAGCAATGACTGTCTGGTCTCGGAGACTGCCGTTGGAGCGGATGTCCTGATATGTCACATAGCCCAGCGTACAACATGGGGTCAAGGGTAAGAACTGCTGCAGAAATTAAGTGAATATTTGCATGTGTAATGACGCACAGAAGACCAGCAGAGAAAGACGTAGATACACAAGATTTGAGAAAAAGAGGAAAGCTGAGATGTGGGCCCTATTGCAAGACACTGAGAGTCACTGGTACAGTTTGCAAACATTTAATTAAACAAAAGAGAGTTAAGCTTACATGTGTTGGTGAGAGGGCAGAGAGTCCATTACGTGGAAAAACAAAAATCTAAAACAGATTTTCCACATTATCGAGGAAGGTATCAAAAATACAGAGACAATTAGTAACACTCGTCATGTGATAATGACATGGCAAGGACTAAACAGAACTATAAATACAGCCACACAAACGAACAGGGAGGGTCACAAGCAGGTGGAACACATTAGGGACTAATCAAGACAACAGGAAACAAAGCATGAGATTAAGGCCCTGTCTACACAAACACAGGTATTTTCAAAACTTTTACTTTTTCTTCGCGGTTTGGCCGTTCGTCCACACATAGACGCAGTATCAGGTCACTGAAACCGAACATTTTTTAAAACTCCTGCCAGGGCGAGAATTTTAAGAAATGACGCTTGCAGTGTTGTCGTGTTGACAGTACAACCGGAGTTTTTGCCTTGTGATGTCTGAGTGTGCGCCGTTATCTGCTGTATTTGATGTCAGATTGTGTGTCACTGCCTGTTTTGTTTCCAATTTTATTAGGCTCTGATTGGCCAACATGGCTTTACGGTTAGGGTCATATTGCTGCCTGTGGTTTGGCATGCTCTTGACAGCGCTTGATAGCGTGTTGTGTTTTCATGTTTTCATGTAGACAGAGAATTCTTTTTTCAACAAAGGAGGAAAAACTCTGGTTATAAAAATACCCATGCCTGTGTGGACTAGGCCTAAAACCACAGACAGGTGAAAACCAAACTGAAACAGGAAACAGGACAAACACGCTGACACACACATACACGGAGCTGCATGTAAAGGATATCTCTGATTATCTTCATTTTCGGTGAGTTGTTTGAGTTGTGCAGTGCTGGAGTGGACCAATTCGTCCAGAGATCTCTCTACTATCTCCAGGTCTCCAAGCTCTTTCCTCAGGGCACAAGCCTTCTCTCCTCCACCTGCACCGCCCTCAAATACATCTCCAACCCTACAACGAGACATCAGAAATTGCTGTAGCTGTTATAATAACACACAGACACACAGTGTAACAGATAGTAATCACTCTACAGCGAGGTTGTTCAACGTCGTCTAGATATGTTGCAATGGCCATTTACAGCCGCTAGGGGGCACATAAACTAAGTGTAAGCAGGAATAATCACAGGGCCAAACAACAGCTTTTCAATAAATATAACTGGATTGCTTTTTACTGAAAGGTGCAGTAGTACTAATATTGCTTCTGCTCAGTGTATCTAATGGACACATTATTATAAACACCTTTGAATATGATGCAATCTATCAGCACAGTGTGCCAAACAAACTGCACAACATCCACTCTATGGTCAACATCCAACAGGCTTGGATGTTAAAACCTGTCAGAGCTGTTTGACAGAAGCAAATAAACTGTTTTTAAGTATGTGAGAGAGATGTGTACTCAGGGCTGAATTGTGACTTATTAATAAGGGTCACATGATACACTGTATCAGACTAATATCATTGTATAAGACTATTGTCACTCCTCATATAACATGTCTTCCTCTGCATCGGTACTCACAGCCACTGGATGTTGTTCTTGGACTTTTTTCGGATGAGCTGGACTCCCTCCAAGACGTTAGTGATGTCATAGATGCGTCTCTTCTGGACCTCTAGAACCTCAGTGGCCCAGTTCAGGTCAAGAACTCCATCAGGAGACTCAGCGATCAGACCCACAAATTTCTTGGTCAGCAGGCCCAGGGACGTGTCGTACCGTGTCCGCTCACCTGGAGACTTTGGAGCTGAGAGCAAAGATCCAGACAAAGGCACATGAGAGGAGAACAGCACCGATTTGACAAAGATTTGTAAATATTTAACCGCAAAGGTAAGCATGAAAATAGGTCAACATATTTCAGAAGAAATTTCAGGACTTCATTCAGTGGATCTGCTGATGATGTAGAGAACGGATGCATGTACTTCTTAAATTAGTCATTCAGGCTGTTGTCATGAAAAGAAACCTTAGCATAATTCCTCTGTGAATGTGACTCGCGTTGCATTCTGATTTGATCTTGTTCACTGATTGCAAGCAATCTTTACAGAACAGATGTCACCTCACAGTGAAAGCTCTCTATTACCCCAGTGGTTTGAAATTGACAAAGTCAAAGCTGATCTATTGCTGTTCTTATAATTAAATTGGAATATTCCATATTATTATTCTATATTCTACTTTCTTTTTATTTCCCTGTTTCAGTGTTTTGAGTGTGCCTCCTGCTCCCCATGAAGTAAGGGTCTCTCTTTGAATTACTTCTTCTTTTTTGTACTGTTAAAAAAAATCTGACTAGAAGAGCTACAGAGATGTTATCAGCACAGACACCAATTCTAGTCGTGTTGGCATCTCTAGGATCTACCCACAAAACCCACTACATTACCACACCTCTCTCACATCTATCTCTCCTCTTATCCACAGTGGTGTACTCACTCCTTGGACTTGGTATTCTGGCTGTGATGCTGCCTTTGCCTTTTGGAGTGCGAAACTCTGGCAAGTAAAGAGGGTCCTCTAGATCCAGCTTCCTTTTAGCCTAGAGAGAAAAGTTTATGTGCATTAGGAAAAAAAGAAAAATATAAGAGCAAAGAAGGTGTTTCATATAGTTGCAGCGCTCACTCTGACCTAACTATTTCCGAGACTGCTCGCTGCTGGAAACAATCATGCAACCTTCCTGCTCTGCAAATCCCACTGACTAACATTAAAAGTTAAATCATGAGAATGAAGTGTGTTGGGCAGTCCATCCATGAAACTGTGACATCAGTGCTGCCAAATGTGCAAAACAGAGGGTTGTTGGAAAGTGTTGTAAATGTGCCAACAGCCCTCAAGTGCAAGAACAAAGCACCCCCCTCACACTTTCCCAAGCACTTCAAGGGGTCTGATCACGTGTGTGTGTGTGTGTGTGTGTGTGTGTGTGTGTGTAGGGAAGGGGGGGGGGATGCAAGGAAATCCTTGGAATGACTCAATGACCTCTCCTCTCCCTTTCTAGCTTTCCTACGTCACCTTTCTTCTACAGTTTAACACACAGGCTTGCCACATACACACACACACACAGATGATTACTTGACTATAACTGTAATTCGTCGTAGACTAATACCTGCAGCTTTAATCAAACGCGCAAACACAAGCTTTGGACCAAACTAAATAACTTTATGTGAACATTGTTTTTTTTCATTGACCTACACAGCAACATAACAAATAGGAAAATCACATGAACCCAGTTTCCCTCTCAGGATTGAGAAATGACCAACTGTCTGAAAAGTGACAAGTTGCACAAACTGGCGACACCCTAACATGCAGGATTCCTGCCAGTTAATAGTTAACTCCAACAAATGTTCACAACAGACGAGAAAGTTTGCAGTCAATCTGTAATCATTCCCCTCATCACGCAGTGAATCCACACAAAACTGACTGGACTAACGAGGTGTGGAATTTTGCTATACGTTACCGAGGCTGCTGGATAATTTGTAGAATCTGGTTAGGACCTCACCTCAGTCACCTAATTGTGTCCTCTCCTATTCTTTCATCTGTGTTGTCTTTCAAACCCACTTTTTTCTCTGTTTCCTCATAAGAACCTGGCAAGAATAATCCCTTTTTGGCACCACAGTGTTTTAGCTAATAGGTTTAGAGAGATGGGAAAAGTGGTGAATTGAATAAACCATGTGTGGATGTGCCTGTGTGAGTGTGGGGATCATGAAGGCTGCCATTGTCCCAGTGTGCTCCCTGACATATCCACCTGTTGACTGGCGACATCTGGAGCTGCACAGCAAGTGTGGGCGCTGTTGGCGGGGCAGCTTTTAATCCCAACAGCATACAAGCAGCCATACAGAAAGTTCAGTAGGACACAGAAATACAGAGTTCAGGGCAGTGACAGTGAGCGGCACTGAAAAAACACCTCTTGTGTGTTTAAAAGCTGTGTTTAAATTGGATCTGAGTCCTAACAGTAGCTGTCAAGCACCAGGAGAGAGAGGAATAAGATGACTTTAGGTGGAGTGTCTACAAGCAGTGACAGCTGTAGTTTAAAGAAGATCTGTCTGGTTTTACACGATTGTCTAATTCTTTCAGTCCCTGCATAAGTACTGTATGGGGGGAAAACAGCTGTCTCTTAAGGTTCAAAACATCCATGATCTAAATGTGCAGATCAAGCTGCACCAGGTCTACATTTTTCACACTTGTAGGTTTAAGTCCCAGCCACAGGCACAGTGACATGTTGTAAGAGGGGAACCAACGGTTTCACCCTGCAGCTGTAAAGGTTAGGGTGGGGGCTTGGGTGCTCCCTTCTTTGCATGAGGGACTTATCTGGTGAGTCAACCATATTACGCAAACACCAATTCAGCTGTTGGAAAGTCCGGCTGATGTCTTTCTTTTACTCGCTTTACAGACCACTGAGAGGAAACAGCAATCATAAAAACATGGTAATGATTTATAGGCCAGCACACAGGCATGTTGCTTGAGACATATATCAGGACACAGAAAAGATCCTGAGAGACTAAATCAGATGATTTGGATCAGTCTTTGGCAGAAAGCTGGGCATTATAGTAGCACATGTTGCTCGATTTAAAATCAGGTCCCATGTAGTTTCTGTGCAGCAAGCCACTGTTTAGGCCAAATGCTGTTGGATGAAATGGGAAAGTCATGAGCCAAATACACTCCTATTCGCTCTTTATCACCAACACTCACTCCACTCGCGTTTGCTATAACCTCACCCTGCCTTGCATGCCCCAGTTCCACCCGCACGTGGCTTCTTCTGTTTGCTGGAAATTCTTTGGCTGATTCCCTGATTTACTGCCGTTTACTGGCGTTTCACACAAAGTCACAGTCACGTGCAGGTCTTCTGCAGTCTGGCCTCTCTTCAAACCAACAAACCTCTGTCAGGCTGTTGCTCAGATTTCATCCAAGCCAAGGGCAAGTTACAGTATGCCTGCAAAATAAATATCTCTCTCCTATGTACACAACCACCTCACTACCACACCCTTGGGTAGTCAAAAGAGAAACAATGCCATTGCTGATGAGCTTTTCAACGTGTCCCCGAAGAGGTAAAGGAGAAGGGTGGATCAGCCAATTTGGGTTGGTGGTGGGGGGGCCTGCTTTGAAATGCAAAATCTCCCTATTGAGGGTGCTATGCTTCAGGGCCAGCGCCAGCCTGAGGTTGGAGAAAAACAAGGTGAATGAGAGAGATAGACAAGTAGAGAGAGACTTTAGTTGCATATAGTTGGCAATGTGACCAATGTCACACCAGAGTGTCATCAGCCTGATGGGGCCTCACCAGACCGGCTCAGGGGGGAATCTCTGAAAGTAATTTAAGTGGGAAGTTATGCACAAAAGCTTGTAGAAGAGGTTTGTTTCCCTACAAATGGGCAGAAAGATTCACAAAGCCGGTATCTATGCTGATGCAGTCGCATTACATGACAATCTGGGAACATACACGTGTGACATTAACCAAGAATAAGTGGGACATTGTTTCTGGTCGACATTATGCAGATGCATCTTGTGCCGCAAGTGATTGGAAGTAGCCATCACCAGAGAGAAAGGGCTTCCCTGGACTTTGGAGGGAGGTCTGAATCCTGTTACACATTTACATCCCTATCAAGCGGAAAAACAGGGGTGACACAACATCATCAACAGCCTACACAACTTTTTTCTATTTTCAAACGCACCGTGAGCTTTGAAGCGTGGGATTATGCACGACTGTTGTATAGATGCATTTAGTTTGTTTGTACTTAAAAGGACTCAGATTTGCATGGTGAGCCAAGCATAACATAGCGGTTATTATGTTGTTTAAGTTGAAGGAAGTCAGCTGTACACAAAGAAGCAACACTTCCTCTAAAGGAGCCGTGACTGAACATGCAATGAAGCTGCTGTGTCAGCAAGCACACGAAGAAGACACTGCTTTCTTGAAGTTTAGTAATGACTTGAAGTAATTCTTTTGTACTGAGCTGTCCTCAGTCATGACAACACATAAAATGGCAAGGCAACATGTCCTGAGTCAGTCAGGCACTCACTCACAAAAAGAAAATAAATGCATCTATTGATATGCCATGCACAACTGTTACTGCAGACATCACCCAGACTAACACAGCCTACTTATGCTTTGACAGGTTGCACGAAACATGAGAATTTAGTCTAAACCAGCTGCAGCAGTGATGCTCTGTGGCTAACACCTTCTTTTGGACACTGCTCTGTGCGTCTAGAGTCCCAGCCTAGATTTGAGGAATTTGGAGTAGACAAACGCTCCCAGCATTCAAGTAACAAAATGCATGGATGATAAAACGAAAAAGTGGGAGTGAGAACATCACCTCCAAGAAGATTTTGAGGCAGACGAAGGAAGAAAAAAATGCTTTAGGATCCTTACAGCCCACTGTGTTGTCATTTTTAGAAAAGGGAATTAAAAGGGATTACTATCTATTATTACTGTTATGACGAGCTTCAGCCCATCACCTTACACATAGCATAATTTGTAAGACCTTAAAGCTTTATGGTGCTTTTCCCCCCGTAGAACTGAAAGTTTACTTAATTTACTGAAATCTGGTGAGGAAGTTTCATAATCATAGGACTTTGGGACTTTTGAAACCTGCTCTGCATTTCAAACTTGCTCTGCAGTTTCAAAAGTGCATCACCCTTCCACGTCAATCAAGATCTAATTTTTGGGGTGAATTACACATGTAGAACCTGTGACAGTGTCCAACAGCTGAGAACATCAGCTTTTTATTCAAGGCGAGAAAAAAAACCCTAAAGTTAATGTTATCACAACAGATCCAAATACTTTTATTTAGACTATGCACTGGACACCATTATCAGTGTGAAAACACATTCAGCATACTGGCTCTATCAGTAACTCGTCACCATCCTCTGATGATAGCATAGCAGTATATATGTATAATAAACTCCGACAGCCCACATCCAAGACACTCTATATTAGCTTGGGCCCATTAGAGGCAAAGTATCTGTCATATGAACTGGCCTTAATGCTGGATTAAAGGAGGAATTCATGTGAACATATAATATGTACAAACTCAAGAATATATAGAGACTTGAATTATAATTAAATTCACCTTGGCATATGATAAGCCAGGTGGCAGCCTATTTCTCACTTTACTTATGTCCAACTAATCCGCTTGAAGGGCCTATAAGTGAATACAGGCTCCAAGGGCAGGGGGTTAACATGATATTTGGAAACCCTGCACACACTAACCCCTAACCCATTTAGCCTTACTGCAAGTCCCTAAATCTAAACGACTGCGAGGCTGGCTGGCTCGAATGAAGAGACCACATATATCAAGCAAGCAGCAGGTGTAGAGCGCTACCACGTTGCTGAGTTTGGGCAAATCCTCTCAGATCATAAAGCTTTTCATATAAGCCTCTAGGAAAAAGATATAGGTATACAGCCCTCATTGGATCATTCTTACTTAAACTTGTGTCTCTAAGAGTTCTTTTCATCTGAGCATACACACCAGTTGTTCAGTTATGACCCCTGATCTCCACCTTGATCCTA